TGAATGTTCATTAATACTTGGAGCCCAGGGGCAAAGTCTCACAAGTCCAAGAAGTACTTATCTTCATTACCATTTCAGAGGAGGAAAGAGTTTCAAAGAAGTAAATTAACTTGTCCACGGTTGCAGAGCTATAATAGTTAATGCAGTTCTGGTGCTTACTACATATATACCAGGCACTGTTCTAAGCACTAATTTATCTAATCCCCAAAACAGCACTATGAGGTAGGTTCCATTATTACCCATCATTCTTAGTTAAGAAACTGGTCCAGCATCCCACTCTAGTAAGTGGCAAACCCAGGACTCACACTGGCTTAAAGTCATTATCAAAACAAAATGCTGTCTCTTGGCTAAGAAGTAGCAGAGCAAAATTCAAACCCAGTCTAACTCTTGAGTGAGAGAGGACCCTCTATCTTCTTACCAACATGCTAAGCATGGCCCTCCTACCTGCTGTAGTATGGAGGGTTGCTAGGGAGGATGGGAGTAAAGAGTTCTGGGGACCCTCCAGAAAGGAGCATTTAAGCTGCATTTTGAAGGTCAAAGTAAGTATTGGCTAAAGGTAGGCACCATGCAATTTATCATTTTTTCTTTATTTTTTTGCAATTTATTATTTTAAAGGAAATTATATGTATCCAATTGAGGTCTTTAAAAAGACTATGTAGTTTCAGACTGAATTATAAAATCTTTACTGTGTTTTAATTTTTCAAGGAGAAATATTCTTGATGAAGGAAAACAAGGTTTTGTTCACTTCAATTTGGCTATACATTAAAAAATCATCAAGGAATAGAAATGGGCAGTTTTTGTAACGTTAAACCCAATTCTGACTTCCAATATTTACTTCCTCAATCTAAGTGCTGCAAGCAGGTTGATTTCCAAACCTTAGGAATCTCTGCAAGATTTTCTCTCCTTCAAATCTGAAACCCAGCATTTAGAAACCATAAGGAGCCTGGAGATTCAAATCAAGAACTAGAAGGAACCAGTGTGCGCGTTGTTCCCCCGGGGCTAGAGACCGGCAGGCAACTTGTGGCTCAAAGGCTGCAGAACCAGGGTTTTTTCCCTAGCAAATTGATTTATGACCCCAAGAAGGGCAGCTGCAGAACCGGTCAGACCATAAGTGCAATTCTCAAACATGCATCCAAGAAGAAGGTCCAGGATGAGATGGGAATGGTAAGGTGGGGTTAGTTCTGGGGGGAAACGGACTGTCCTGGGTGAGACCCTTCAAATCCTAATTCTTGCAGCAGCCAGGCCAATGGACTCAGCAGCCCAAAATGTGCGCGCTGGGGGACTTGACTCCGCAGCAGGGCAGCGGGACAAGGTGCCTCCACGCCCCCTTGCGGACCTATATGACGGCTGAGGAGGACTTGCCTACTTCAGGATAGGTACAGTGTCTCAAAAATGTTCTCAGTTTAACCTTCACACCACCTTTCAAGAGAGTCGCCGAGATCAGCTAGCTCCATTTTACAGACGAAATGCTGAGGCTCGGGGAGATGAAGCAAGACTTGCCAGCAAAAAAAGAAAACCTTAAATGAAGACGATCATTGGACTGGTTCCTGAAGAGATGGGGGCTGGGGCCGCTGGGGGGCCCCCACACTGACCCCTCTGGCTCTCTGGGCGGATTTGGAACCAGCTGTCAACCCGGAGGCCTGGCAGCGCCCAGGTGGCTGGGAAGAGGGAGCGCGCGCAGTGGGCAACAGCGCGTCTGAGGGCGCAGGGCGCACCACCCGCTCGCCTGCGTCCGCCTCTAGAACCCGGCACCGGTGCCGCAGGGCGCCACGCGGGACGATCCACGCGCCCGCAGCCGCGCCGGAGCCCCACGCGAGTCACAAGCCACGAGCCACGGCGCGTGCGCGCGGGACTGCTGCGGGCACAGGTTGGCACTGCCCCCGCGAGCCCACCGGCACTGCCCCACGCCTTACCGTAGTTGCTCCCCAGTGACCAGGACCTCAGCCATGCGCTCCAGCTCCCTTTGCTGCGCCCCGCCACTCCCGCTGGGGCTGCTGTCGCTGCCACCGCTGCCCGCGCTGCCGCCCTCCATGCTCGGGGCCCCGTCGCTACCACTGTCTTCGCTGGCCGCCGGGTTTGGGTGTTAAATCAGTCTGCCCTCACCGAGGCCTCGCCCGCCATATTTGTTTGGGGCAATCCCGTTGCTCACGCGCGATTGGCTGGAAAGGGAATCCCTGTGGGCAGGCTGAGGTGCTAGGCAAGTCTGTTCCTGGAACTCCAGCTTGGGGGCGTGGCCGGAGCCCCGCGTGGTCGCGGGGCGTGGCCGAGGGAGGAAAATATAAACATCTGGGCGGGGCACCGCTGGTGCGTTTTGTGCGCTGGTGAAGGTTGAATTAGGTGAGCTTCTGCTGTGGGACCCTGAGGACAGGCTGGGAGGTTACTGAACAAGTGTGAAGGTATTTTGACTATACTTTCCATGCTCCAAATTGCTAAAAAGCAAAAAAAAAGTAACAGTATAGCTAAATAGTGAACGATAAAGAATCTACAGGTCACTGCAGGGCATGGAGAAATTAAGTATTTTTTCGCCCTAATCCCCTTTATCAAAGACAATTTACTTATCTTATGTTGTAATCAATAAAGAACGCTGGCCTAAGAATCAGACAGATCTGGGATCCAGCTCCACACCTACAAATAATTCTCAGTTTCCTCTTTTACAAAATAAAAACAATTGTGGGTACCACTTGTTGAGAGGTGCTGCATTAAAGATGCTTCAGGTAATTGTTACCTTCCTTAATTAATGCAAAAAAGCCATAAAATGGATATTGTTCTCATTTTATATCAGGAAGCAGGCTCAGAGAAATCGAGAAACTTGTCCAAGGCTAGCAGCTAAGTGCAAGAAGTAAGAATCAGCCCTTGCCGGTTTGGCTTAGTGGATAGAGCATCGGCCTGCGGACTGAAGGGTCCTGGGTTTGATTCCAGTCAAGGGCACATGCCGGGGTTGCAGGCTCGATCCCCCAGTGTGGGGCATGCAGGAGGCAGCTGGTCAATGATTCTCTCTCATCATTGATGTTTCTATCTCTCTCTCCCTCTCCCTTCCTCTCTGAAGTCAATAAAAAAAAAATATATATTTTTTTAAAAAAGAAGTAAGAAATCAAACCCAGGACATTCTGGCTTCATAGTTGTGTGCTTAAAAGATTGCCTCTTAGCCCTAGCTGGTTTGGCTCAGTGGATAGTCGGCCTGCGGATTGAAGTGTCCCAGCTTCGATTCCGGTCAAGGGCATAT